TCTGGACTCTGCCCCTTCTCCTGTCACTGCCACTCACCATGCACGAGGCCCTTCGTCACGCATGTTCTCATTTCCCACAGAAGCTGTGGCTGGGCAGGATGGCCTGTTAGCCTCTTCCTGGGTGGAGAGAGGAAAAGCACAGACAGGAAGTGGTCACAACTCACAGGGGTGGCACTGGCATCAATTCCTGGGCCAGGGCTCTGCCCTCAGACAGCAGCACCTCAGTCTGTACTCAGCCTCTTCCCATGGTCCGCGTACCCTGGGAGAATGAGAGAATGAAGGCCAGCTCCCCAGGGGTACAGAGCCAGCTCCCTGGGGTTGTAGACCCCACACAGACCTTGTCTTCAGCTTGCCAGGCCCCTGCCCTACTTTTCCCCAACAAACCCCTGGCTTCTCCATTAGGGGGTCAAGTAGGGGCAGCCTTCAAGGCAAACTTGTCCTGCAGCCTTTGGGGACGTGTTCTCTGTGATTGGGGTGCGGGAGCCCCAGCCAGCAGCAAGCGAGGCTTTTGTGAAGTTTGCTGACGCACACCGCAGCATTGAGAAGTCCGGTATCCGGCTGCTGAAAACCATCAAGCCGGTAGGTCCCGGTGAGCACGTGTGTGTCCAGCTTGTGATGGCAGAGAGCGGACAGCATGGCCCGCAGAGGGTCCCGCACCAGGGTTCTGGCTCGGTCACCTACATGGCTGGCGGCCTGTAAGCCATGGTGCCCCTTGGGGCTTGGTATTGACCGTGAGGCCGCTTTCAGCCCCGTTCCGCCACTGGGTCGCGCTTCGCCTTTGCCTGGACCAAACTTTTAACCTTGTAATGGAAAAGCCCACTGGCCCTGGCAGCCTGAGTCACCTGGAGGGGGCGACACAGTGCCATTCCTTGTCACATGGCCTCCCCTGCCCCACCCCTCAGATGCTGACAGACCTGAACACGTACCTCAACAAAGCCATCCCCGACACACGGCTCACCATCAAGAAGTACCTGGACGTGAAGTTTGAGTATCTGGTGAGTGCTGCAGGCAGCCGTACACTGGGAGCCACCCTGGGGCCTTGTCCCGTGTGAGCAGCTGCTCTGGGGAGGGCAGGGAGGCCCAGGGCCAAGGGGTTGTGTGTCAGGGCCCTGGCTGGGGCCTCGGGGGCAGCCTAGGACGCTCTCCTGGCATCAGTCTGATCCCCTGGGGGATTCTGTCAGTCACAGTGGGTTGGACCAGGCCTGGGTTGTTCAAAGTAGGTGCCACAGGAAGTTAGGAGTTTTAGATAAGAATTCGGTGGGCAAAGGAGGGGAGAAAATGCTCTGTGTGCAGCAAGTCTACACTTGGGGCTTCCTGGCTGCTCTCACTGTGAATTTGTGTTCCTGAGCATCTCTTGTGCTGGGGATGTGGAGCCCCAGGTCTGGTGTGTGCTAGGCAGGTGCTGTACACTGAGCCACACCCCAGACATCTGTTAGGACTTGAATTCGGTTGGGCCTGCCTGCCTGCCACCCTCAGACCCCCTGCACACCTACTGCGGCCTTCCTAGAATCTCAGCTCACCCCAGCTGGGTGTCTGCAGGAGCCCGAGGCCTGGCATGGCTGCTTGTGTCTGTGTGCCAGCAACTTCCTGGGGTGGCCTCGGGTACAGTGTGGTGTGAGGGATAAGGGAAGGACAGTGTGGGCTCTGACTGCCTGGCCTCGTCCCACACAGTCCTATTGCCTGAAGGTGAAGGAGATGGACGACGAGGAGTACAGCTGCATTGTGAGTACGGAAGGGTGAGGGGCCCGGCCTGGCCATCAGAAAGGCTTGGGGCCCACGTTCCTTCCCTCACCGACTTCATAGAGCCCCAGAATGCCCTGGGTCTGCTAGGGACATCAGGTGGGTCAGGTCAACCCGGGAGAGACCTAGGGTGTTTGGCCTGGGTTCTCGTTGCCAGAATTTAGAGCCACGCGGCCGCACCCCAGTTCTCCTAAGCCAGCCACACCTTCTTGTGACTCCTGCAAGGAAAAACCGACTGACTTCATTCCTAGTTGACCCTTAAATTTTAAAATCTATAAGATTTTTGCTGTCAGAATCCATCTTTTGACCAGAGTCCATTTCTCCAGTGTGACAAGAGTTGGGGTTTTTGTTGTTAGCTTTTCTCCCTCCAAAGCTATTGCCGGGGCTTCCCGCAGTCGCCGGCAGCTGGCAATCAAGGGAGCACGGGGCTCCGAGAGGAGTAGGGGCGGATATGAGAGGTGGGTGGGCCCTGCAGCCGTCCCATCCGCCCTTTCAGACCCCAAGCAGATCCCCCTTCGCCCAGTGCCCCTGGTCCCTGAAGTGTCCCCACCGCCGCAGGCCCTGGGCGAGCCGCTGTACCGAGTGAGCACCGGCAACTACGAGTACCGCCTGATCCTGCGCTGCCGCCAGGAGGCGCGCGCGCGCTTCTCGCAGATGCGCAAGGACGTACTGGAGAAGATGGAGCTGCTGGACCAGAAGCATGGTAGGCCGGGGCGCGGCCAGCCTCGGAACTGGGGGGACCCCATGTCCTTGTTTCAGAGTTGGGAATAGTGAGGCCCAATGAGGTCATGCCCCGACCTGTGGTCCCCGCCATCCCTGATCCCGCTGCACTGGGGGCGGGGCCTGGTTCTGGGGGGTGGGGTGGGCCGGCAGCCACAGCCACTGGGCTGTCCCCGCCCCCTGCCCCAGTCCAGGACATCGTGTTCCAGCTGCAGCGTTTCGTGTCCACAATGTCCAAGTACTACAACGACTGCTACGCGGTGCTGCGTGACGCCGATGTGTTTCCCATCGAGGTGGACCTGGCCCACACCACCTTGGCCTACGGCCCCAGCCAGGGCGAGTTCACTGATGGGGAGGAGGAGGAGGAGGAGGACCCGGCAGCCAAAGAGCCCGCCCGGGACACGCGCGGGGCCACCGGGCCCCTGGACAAGGGAGGAAGCTGGTGTGACTCCTGAGAACCCCGGGCCGGACCTGGGGAGTTGGGCTCAGAAAGGCCTGCGGGCCTCCCACTCCTCCGTCCTTGGCACAGCGGGCCAGGGCTTCTGCCGGACAGCACCACCTCTTTCCTCCCACTTCCCCAGCCCTGGGAGAGCGTGGCCTCCGGACTTGCCTTAGGAGGAGAAGGTGGGAAGGGAGCGGGCTGGAGGTGGCAAAAGTCAGGCCCAGTCCTGTGGGCACCACCCCCGTGGGACCCTCACCTGCCAGGGTGAGGCCCGGGTGGATGAGAGGCTGGGCCCTGTGTCTCCCACCTTGCACAGCAGCTCCACCGAGGCCACATGGACCTCTGCAGCCTTTATTTATTTTGTTCCCCCCAGCTCCGCCACTTCTGGAGAAGGGCTGGGCTCCGGGCCTGTGCTGAATAAACAAACCCAGACAAGCCAGGCTGTGCGGTGGTGGCTCAGACCCTCACAGCGTCAGGAGGGCGGGTGGGACAGTTTATACGGACAGGGTGAGATCTGAATTCCTATCTGCCAGGTCCCAGACCCTGCTTCTGCTACCTACCACCACTGCCTCCTACTTCCTGGACCCTCTCGTGCCCCCTCCTCACCTTTGACCCTGCATTTGGGGGAAAGACAGGACAGACACTGCGTCAGGGCTGCTGAGACCCAGGGTGGAGAGAGAGTGTCAACCTCAGGTGTCCTCTGTGCACCCAGGCTCGTGCAGGGCCTCCCTGTGCTCTGTATAGGGCAGAATGGGGTGGTCACAAGTCTGCTCGCCTGGCCAGCGCCAGCTGACACCTGCGGGCCTGGTGTAACCAGTAGCGGTGGCCCTGTTGGGACAGTGGATGTGACCATCCTGAGAGTGGGAGGGGACAGGTTGCCAGGTAGGCAGAGTGGAAGCAGTTTCTGCTTAGCGTGCAGGGTGCAGCTCCTGGGCAGGAGGGAGGGACGGTCTGTCACCAGGAGCCCACTCACTCTGTCCCCAGAGAGCTGTCTGGCCTCCCTACCCCTCTGGGAGGGCAACCTGGGTCCCAGTCATGGCCTCGATTTCCCTCTCGGTGAAGCCCAGGTAGCCATGGCAATCTGCCTACTTGGGCGGGTAGGAGAAATACGTGAGTAAGCATTTGTAAGGGTGTAAGGCAGTGCTGGGCTGGGACAGGGATTTAGCTCAGTGGTTCCGCCGCCTACCTCGCAGTGCAAGGTCCTGAGTTGGATCCCCAGTACCCGCCCCAAGATGGTGCTGGGCCAGATTGAGCCTCCTGAAGTGCTCAAAGAAGGCATTCTCTGCTCTGGTGGCCTGGGGGACCACAGATAAATATGTTAGCCAGGCTGCAGGGTTCCCCAGAACTTTAGCTGGCTGCGCCTCTCTCATGGCCTTGCTGGGAAAGTGAGGCCCAACTGGGAGCCTGAGGAGGGGTCACTGGGTTGGGTGCTGAGAGTCCCTGACTGAAAGGAGCCAGGAGTGAGACTGGAAGGTCCTTGAACCTGGGTCACAGTGCAGGTGAGGCAGTGCCAGGGCCAAGGTGCGGGGTGGCAGAGCATCTATCTGTCTGATCTACCTGACCTGGGTTCCACCCCTGGCTTCTGGGGTTGGGGGAGATTGGGACCCTGTTCGGGGCAGTGCAAATGCCAGAGTCAGTGAGTGACCAGGCTGCCCACAGCACCACCAGGAGCAGTGTCCAGAGCAATCCTGCAGGTCCCAGGGACCCCCAAGCTCGTCCTCTAGAGGGCGGGTGAGGAGCGTGCTCACCAGGTGACATCAGCAGGCCCAGGCCTGGTGAGCACTGGTGTGTGAGGGAGGCTGAGCCACTGAACAGGCTTCACCGCCCACCCTGGCCCTTGGCCCTGGGCTTTGTCACAGCTGCTTGGCCTCGGTTCGCCGGAAGGTGCTACTGATGCCTTCGCCTCCATGGGGGATGCAGGTGACAGCCTGGAAGCCCCTCCTGCCTTGCATCCATCACTGACACCCAACTCCAGGGGGTTCCGGGGAGACCTCTCAGACCCCCCTCCCCAACTTGGGGTGCAGCCAGAGCCCCGGGCAGAGGCACAGGAACAGAGCTTGTCATTCTGCCGAGCTTTATTGACTCGATTTCCTGTGGGACCACAGCTATTTCACCAGCAAGCGGGGAGGGCCTGGTGAATGGAAAGGGTGGTTCCCACAATGCCCAAGAGGTGACTGCAGCCCGGACTTGCCCAGAGAATGACCCTCCTCCCTAGTGTGCCAAGCCCTTTGGGAAGAGGAAGTCACCTTCCAGAGCCCCTGGGCCACCCCCTTGCAATACACTACACAGACTCCTAGTCTAGGCCTGGTTCTGGCTCCACCTCTGGTTCCACGGACCTGGCCCGAGGGCTCAGCATTTCCAGGGCCTGCAGACCCGGTTCCTCAGTGCCAGGGGGCAGCAGCTCAGAGTTCCCCTCGGCCTCAATGTCTTCAGTGTCACTGGCTGCACCAGCAGAAGCCTCCGGAGAGCGAGATCTGCGACGCAGGCAACAGTAGGTGGCAGTGGCCATGAAGACCCCAGCCAGGGCCACCTCTGAGCCAGCCAGGTAGAAGATGATCTCATAGTTCTTCAGTGCATCCACCAGGTGGCCTGGGGAAAATGGGAGGTCAGAGCCTGCTGGGGTCCCCCCTTCATGCCCTCACCCACAGTAAAGGGCAGGGTTGCCATTTTGGTGGGCCTCTCTGAGTGACACACACGCCTCCTCCCACCACCCTTTGTCTTTCTTTTCTTTTTCATTTTTTGGTCCCAGGGATCAAACTCAGGACCTTGTGCATTTCAGGCTGGTAGCAGGACCACTGAGCTAAATCCCTGGCCCTCTTTGTCTTTGTTTCTATTTCATAGAGGCAAAGCCCCACTTGAGTTCTGCCATTTGAGAATTTAAAAATGTCACTTCCCTTCCCTGAAGCTCAATTTTCTAAGCAATATAGGACTTCTGATGAGACAGGACTTTACAGTATGTAGGGCGCCCCTTTCCCCCTGACTCCCTGTGATGTGCTCAGTTGTGGCCGTCCAGAGGCAGTGGAGAAGGCCCTGTGCTGAACCTCCTGGGACTCCTGGCTCTTGCTCCTTCCATTGTCCCTGGTCCCCAGGAACTTGGCCTCTGTCACACAAGTCCCCTAGACTCAATTCTGCCCTGCTGATAGGCCCTGTTTCCTTCTGCATGTACAAGTTACTTTTTGATCGTGTGCATGTTAGCGATGGAACCCTGGGGCTCCAGCATGCTGAGCACAGACCCCACTACTGAGCTATGTTCCCTGGAAAACCTTTTTTGCTTTTTTTGTGAGATAGGGTCTCACTATATAGTTCAGGCTGGCCTTGAACTCTCAATGATCTTCCCGCCTCAGCTTCCCAAGTACCAAGATTACAGCCACGGGCCACCACATCTGGCTGGAAAATCTTGTAACTCCAAATATTTTCCTCTAAAGTGTGGTTCCTCTGTGGGCTCCCCCCCTCTTTGGGGTGTTCTTGTGGTGAGCACACCTTTTGGAGGTTCCCTGATGTCCCCTGACCAGCTGTCCCACCCATGCCCCTCTGAGCAGCATTTCCCTGAACATCCTGGTCCCGGCCCAGCCGGCCCGACCTGTCCTTGTCCTTTCTTCCTTCAGCTCTGTCGTCTATCGCCTTCATTGCCTTTTGTGCCCATTGGATCCACCCAGGCCACACAGAAGGCAGATGAGCTCTGAGCCTCAGGTGGCTGCTTCTGAGGCTCTGGGTGGCAGTTTCGGGGCTGCTGTCACTGTCACTGTCCACAGCCTGACATATCCCTCTTGCTCAAGGGCTGCAAGCCCTAGGGTCCCCTACGACTCTTCTCCAGTCCTAGGTCCTGCCTCACTTGGGCAGGGACACTGTCCCCCAAGCAAACGCCGTGCCTATTCATGCTGTGCCTTCGCCTGTGGGCTCGGCCAGGACACCTCCGCTGGCCACCCTCACCACGGCGATTCTCCAAGATGGACTGTGGATGGGGGGTGCCCAGCAGGCAGCCTGCACTTTCTCCCCAGGTGTATGCTCAGCAGCCTCACCCTGTCTGGTCCCCCTTATAGTTCAGGAGACTAAAGCATCCGATACACGGTTTGAAGGTGTAGCCTATTGGCATTTTGAACTGAGGATTCGGTTCTGAGTGCAAGTCGTTCTAAGTAGCAGTGCCTCAGTTTCCCCATTTGCAAATGGGGACTAAGCAGCTGCATTTCATGAAGTCTTTGTGGTCTGCTTGAGACAGCAGAGAGGCTGCTACCAGTGCTGGCTTCTTCCTGCCATTTCGTCTGGGCCCGGGGGCCCTGTTTAAGGGGAGGAGGCCACCCACCAGGCAGTCTCCCACAGTCGCTTCCCCTGTATCCCTAGAAGCTCCATCTGGCCCTAAGGGCCCTGGGCCTCCCCACCCCCTGCTCCTGCGGGGCGCACCGGCAGAGGGCGGTCCGATGAGCACAGCCACGGCCTCCATGAGCAGCACCAGGCCCAGCGCACTGGGGAAATGGGGCGCACCCACCGCCGCCATGAGCACCTCGAACTGCAGCGCACCCACCATGCCATAAGAGAGGCCGAAGGCCACGCAGAAGGCGACCAGGGCGCCGTAGGAGCGGGCGCGCGCGCTTCCCAGGTCCGTGAGCCCATTGGCCAACAGGGCCAGGCTGAAGAGGAAGGGGACGTGCGGTCGCAG